TAAACAAAATCCAAGTTGTATTATCTCTAACGTATTTATAATTTAAAAAAAAATTTAATTTAATATATTAAAAATATAACACTACCAAAAAGAAGTGAAATCAAAATATTATTTCAAGTATATTTATTGTAATTGAATTAAAAACTAACAAAAATAATATATCTCGAAAAAAAATATTGTTTCAAATTAAACAAATAAAATCCAAGTTGTATTATTTTCAATGTATACGTAAAAAATAAAAACAAGAAATGCATTAGATAGCGTAATGAGGACCGCAGAAATTAAAAAGGGATTTCGATAACAAGTAACAAATTACGTGACAGAAAAATCAAAGATTGGAAAAAATCTCCAGCAGCATACTTGGCGCGCCCGTTTTTTATATACATATTATAAAATTATAATATAATTAAGTAGATGTATAAGGCCGGTTCTATTCCATGGGGCTACGAGGGGGGGTGAGGGGCAGGGGGGTCCGCGGGGGGTCCGCGGGGAGGGGGAAGCCGCGGAAAGCCGCTCGATCAGCTGGCCTGACCGCAGGGACGTGGGTGCGGGATGCGCGGGGAGAGGGGAACCGCGTTGTGGGTGCGGGATCCGCGGGGCCGGGGCAACCGCGTTGTGGGTGCGGGATGCGCGGGGAAGAGGGAACCGCGTCGTAGATGCGGGATCCGCGGGGAAAGGGGAACCGCGCTCGCGTTCGCGCTCGCGCTTGCCGCCGCCGTCGCCGCCGCCACTGCTCGCATTCGCCGCCGCCGCCGCCGCGTTCGCGCTCGCCGCGTTCGCCGCCGTTGCGCACGGGCCCCACCCCACCCGTTATCGCTCGCGAAGAGGAATAAGGAAGAGTAAAGGGAAAATAATAATTATTAATATAATAGAGAAGAAATGTTATATTTTACCGAAGAATATAGTTAATGAAGATACTAGCCGCGGGGTTGCGAAAGGGGGTTCCAGCGCAGGCCCCGATGCAATTTTCTTTCTCTCTGCCTCCCGCGGTAATCTCTGTCCCACCCGTGATTCTCGCGCGCGATGTAATTCGATGAAAAGATAAGGAACAAAAAAATTTAACA